AGTTGAGGTACAGCATCACTCGTGAGGAATGGAGTTTTTATTATTCATCACACAAGCAGCATCTCTTCATTCACTGTATCATATTATTGACTCAGAATTAATATTCTATTTTTGTTTGTTAATTTATATTATACTTTCAACAAGCACCACACATCAATAACAAATTTATTTAAAATAGTGATAATAATAATTATTATTTTTGCTGTCACTACAAATTGTTGTTACATCAAATTTTCAAGACAATAAAATTATATGAAAGCACTCAAAAATAAGAAGCGATTGTCAAGAAAAGTTGAACATTAAAAGTAGCAAAATTAAAACTTCAATACCTATTTAGCAGTTTGTAAACGCTGTATCTCACTGACGATTCCATTTTCTCCCATACTTTTGAGTGCTGATTTCAATTTGTGACATGTAGCACATCTTGCATCTATCCAGTAGTAGATCATATCTTTACGACAAACTTGAACTTGATCACGGGAATTATATTTGAACTGCCTCAACATTTTATCACTGATTCCCAACTTTTGTCCTAATCTTTGCCATTCATCTACTACAGAATCGATGGCATCAAGAATAGCAGGAGCATGAGTGTGATCTGTAATTAATATGGTTAAGTATAACTTTAACACAACTGACTCACTTAACAATGCATTGTCATCAACTGGTAATGGAGCAGGCTCACAAACAGAAGCTGTTGCTGCAATAAAATGAAAATACTTATTAAAACCTCTGATTACTATGTTTTATAGCCATTGCAGTTGTGCACAGTATAAAAAATTTACTTACGTATTAGCCAGCAGCGTTTCCTTTCAATTAAATCACTAATTGCAATAGTAGGAAGACTAGACTCAACACTGCAACCAATTTGAGATAAATCAAGTGAAATTGTAATAGGATGATTCTTCTTATCATGAGCACGTTCAATATGCTCACGATTGCAACGAATAAGAGCTGACATATTTAACTTTGATTCATCATACTCCAATACCTTAACACTGACTGATAAAGCTTCAAGGATTACCTTGCGAAGATGATAACAATGTTGTGGACAACCTGTGAAATAAACATCAATTGATTCATTATTCTCACAAAGGAACACTGCTGCAAATAAACTTGGTGCATAGAGCTTCACTGCATGGCGGAGCTGCCTGGGAAATTCAAAAGTACGACTATCAATGAAAAACTTAGGCTCTTCCTCTCGACCTAATAGAGAAACTACCAATGTTGGAAATAAACCCTGTATATAAAAAGAAAAATAGTAAAAAAAGTCAGTAAATAAAATTAGTGTCTTGCCTGTAACATCAGTTTGTTATCAAATGTAATAAAAAGCGGAACAGAATTTGTAGCAATCAAATTTTTTGACTTTTCTGAGAGACTTTCTGCTGGTAAAAGTATAGGAATAAAATATTTAGCATCATCTTGAGGAGTTTCAATAGATGAGATAACACGGAATTTCTGTAGCAACAATAGGAGATCTTTCTTTGAAAACAAGTTATGAATAAAAGTCAATCCAAGACTATCGAGTAGTGTTTGATCAAAAGTTCCATTATATCTAAGCAAGTGAATAATTTTTTCAGATATAATGGTTCCATTGGGTAATATTTTTTTAAGTTTATCTACGAAAGACACGCAAACAATATTGGAGAGGCAATCTATCAGAAACTGAAGATTAGTGAAGACTACATGAGGAAGGAGCTTATGATAATAGATACATAATCTCATTGAATCCAAATAAATGAGACACCTTTCAACCTCTTCTTTATCCATTTCTAATCTTTGACCAATAGAGTAACAGGACTCAAGTGAGATCATTCCATGTGTCTCCTTTGATGCTTCATTCTTGATATCCAAATCAAATGCATACCAACGTACTGGTATATTAATATTGAACCTAACGTCAGACACAAGACGATTGCAGATGTCAGCTGAAAGCTTCTCTCGGTTCTCTTGACAAAGATTGTTAACGGGAAAAATCAGCTCATCAGAATTGTGATTATAGAATACAAAAAGATGAAGAAAATCACTCAAATGTGATTGGAGAGTTTTATTTTTCATTTCAATTGATTCCTCTGAGCCCAAGAACTGTTTATATTTTGATCGCTGGTCACAATGAGTGGCTACAATAGCAAATGCTGGTTCACTATTGTCTTCTCTTGAAGTTGCTGCAACAGAACGAACAAACCTCTCAATAATCTGAAGATTAGTCATGGTCATTTCTTTTGGCGCATTGAGTGGTTTACCTTCAATAGAAAAAACGAATGTGGGTTTGTCATGAAGGGATTCGGTCACCTTCATGACAATGATGTACAGTGAATTACCACGTACAAACATACGAAGGAGATCGGTAAACTGAGGCTGACCTCCACTGTCTAAAAGATGAATCCATGTAGCTTCATGCAACATTTGTGGTCTTTCCCTTTTTTCAGAAGACAATTGCTCCATAATTTTTCTCGAAGTATAA